ACACACACACACACACACACACACACACACACACACACACACACACACACACACACACACACACACACACACACACCTCTGTTTCCCTTTCCTCACCACTGTGAGTGTGTTTCTGCTTGCATTTATTAAAAATTATGTGGGAAACATTACAGAGCTCCTCTCACACTCTCTGACTCTTGTGTCTAGAGACCCAAAGACTTTATTTTTGTCAAGTCCACATGCCAGCTTCCTAATTTTGTTTCTCAAGGCTTTTGTTTTAACACGATTTTCCCGTTACCCTTATTATTTTTATCTTGCACTGTTCACCCTAACTTGCTAGGCGACATGAAATACAAAACCACTGAAGGTTTAATTCAATAATAAACTAAAACACGGAGTTTTCCCAATAGCGCCTGTGTTCTTGTTGAGCTGCAGTGTCTGGTGCTGTTGAATCTTTATTGTCCTGCAGGGAGAGAAACGACTGAGCTCAGTTTTCCCAGCAGCGAGTGCCGTGTAAACACATAACGTCATATAGCACGTATGAATATGTAGTTTATGGTCTTGTCCAATCAAAAGCATTCATTTAGCACTATATTGAAATATACAGAAACATGTGATTGACATTTTTCCCTTTGTACTCCAGTTTGCCTATTTTAGCTTGATGTGTTGCTTCACACAGTTTAAAACTCAATTTGATGTGTGCCTGTCATTGCAGGCTCAACAGAAAGTATTTCCCTTCCAGAGGTCAGGTCTTCTCTGATTTTTATCTGTAATAAATGTTACATTTTTAAATTTACCCCAGTTGTGAAGTAAGACGTCCCAAACTGTTTTCCATATTCTGAAATGTGTGATGGACACAAAGGTTTAGATGGCAGATTTACATTTAAAATGATGATTGTTAGATATGCTGATGATTTGTCTCATTAGGGTTTAATTTAGATCATAATTAAGCTAAAATCACGCACTGACGTGCCAACAACACTCGTCATTATAACATAACTGACTTCAGAGGTTGAAAGTGCAGTTTAAATATGATTAGCAGGAAGGAAATGATCTGGGTTTTATATGCATTTAACTACTGAAAAACCTCTTCATATTATTATTATTCATATTAACAAATATTCTGTATGCTATATTCTTTTAGAGACCAAACTTATACCAGAAGAATCTGCTCAGAGCTCAAACAGGTCCAAGTTGCACAAAATGCTGATTTACTTTAGTTATTTTGCTTTTTATGGCAACATTTCACTCCTTATAACTGGATTTTGCAAAATGATGCAAAACATTGAAGTTTATTTAAATGACACAAAATGTGCTAAAAGCGGCAAACTGCTGATATGCACTTGCCTGATAATCACACGGGCAGGTTTTCTGCTGATTAATCAAAGCAGTAGTGGTGCTGGTGAGAGTTTTTCATGGATAAAGGTGAGCTCTGAAACTGTATCAGGTGGCAATACTGTCACTTAACTCTGGGCAAGAAAGCAAGCAATGAAAAAAAGTGTTGAAGTTGCTTTTTTTATGTGGATAAAAATTTCTTTTCGTTTATCTGCAAAGTTCGTCTGCACCGCTCCCCTCGTGCTTGGTTGAAAACCTCAGTAACTTTGGTCTGATTACGTCTCTGACACTTGTAAAGTCAAAGGTTGAAGCGTTGTGTCTTTACCTCAGAGCCTATCACGCGGTGCAGTGATGGACTTTCCTTAGTTTGAGCTCCCCCGGTGTTGTTTTTTACTGCAGTGACCTTTTGAAGATGAACTTCACCGCTGCAGACATCGCAGAGTGGATGTCCTGGTTACCTTCACTGAGTCAAAAGTCACACACGTGACACAAATAAAATAAAAGGTAGTTTAGCCTGATCTGATTGATGATAGAAGCTCAGGTATAATTACAACATTCAGTAATTTAAAGATAGCTCGTGGCTATTTTGCTAAATCCCTCATCATCTCTCTGCCTCTTGGCTTTTCTGTACCTCACTCTTTACCTCAGCACATGGGGTAATAACACTCTGACTGCACACTGTGCATGTGCAGTTTATTAACCAACATAAGTTATGTTTGTCACACCCTCGCTCTCAGTGTCTCTCTGAGAAGGGAGTTCAGGCAAAGTTCACATTTCTTTGAGAGTTTTGGACCGAATTGACGAAAATGAGCAAAGCAGAGGAGAGCGGCGGAGCAGAGGTTAGTCAATTACAAGGCTCAGCTCTAGTAACAAACTTCTAACAAGCAAATTCTTGGCTCTGCGCTCATGTGTGTGTTTTTGGGTTTTTGTGTTTTTGAAGACGTGCAGGAGACAGAATGAGAGGAGAAAAATAGCGTGGGTACTTGCGAGACTGTCAATAACCAAGAGTTTGTATGTTTTTGCATGCAGGCAGGATTCGATGAATACTGCGAAGAAAGCAGCAACTGTGCAATTACATCAAGCTCGGACAAATGACAGGGCTTCCAATTAAACCATCTGCGTTTGAGATCAATAGCATATGATTGGAGGCATGTTTTGAAAAACAGAAAGCTAAAAATAAGAGGAGTGAAAAAGGACGTGTGTGCAAGCGTTACTGTGTCCCACTCACGTCTCTTTATTTTTCTTTATCCCAAACGCCTGGCGCAGTCACAATCACCACTTTCCTACAAAACAAGCAAACATTATCTTATGGTCTCTGTACCTGAGGCCAGCTTCAGCAGTCGGGATTGGACCACTCCTGTGGTGGGTGGATCCAAGTTTCTTGTTTGGACTGAGCTGCCATGGGCTCTGCCACCTGTTCCCCCAGGCAGTACCCTGGTATTCCTGCTTCAGGTAAGGTTGCTGCACATAGATTTTGGTCTTTGTGAGGCTCATTAGTGTCAAACTTGATCCAGCCTCTCGTGCAGGAGACGTTGTCTCCAACAACAAACCCTTCCTCCAAGATGGTGATCCATGGAGGGGGACAAGGTAGAGAGATTGTGCCTCTCAGAAGGCTTCGGCTGACCTCAGTATCCCCCCTGCCTGGGAAGGGGGATTGTTCCTCCCGCGACCCTGATGAGCAGTAGAAATTCTTACGTTTGCTTTTGCACGTCATCAGAGCTGAAACAAATGTGTTTTTATTGCTGTAAGGTATTGTAGCTGTGTTGCAATCGCATGCTGAGGCCACAGTGTGATTCCAATCAATAAATCCTTCTTTTCGGAGAACAAAAATATCCTCAGGTAGTGAGAACTGCCGTTATTTTGGATGACCCTAACGACTCGCAGAATGTACAGTGAACACATGCTGCAGAAGAGATAAGTCTTCACTTAGGCTCCTTTAACAAAACAGGCACCAGAGTGAGAGGTTAAACTTGACTTTTTCCCCCCGGTGAAGGAAAAAGAAAATATTTTGGGGGTGTATTTTTTGGGAAATGGAGAGAATGAAAGAGTCATGTTTTCTTTAACCCTTAACACACACTCTTCCCCTTTTGTTTCCACCTTTAAAGCTTTGAGGTTATTCGCAGCTCGACAATGAAGATTTTTACAAACCTTCATTAAATCTGCATAAAATGTACGTAAAGGAAACTATTTAAGGTTTTACTATGTTAAACCTTTTTTCGTCATTTGATATCGTTGCTGTTTCGTGTCCTTGCATTTATACCATTATACCCTTTCTCCGGCCAGCATGCAAAAATCGTTTTTTCTTCCATCCTTTTTATGTCTGTTTCATATCTTTGGACTACAATTTAAAACTTGGAAACTCTGAATAAAGTTTCTGGTTAGAATTATCTTGCTCTGTAAATACACTGATCGTTTTCTGGAAGTTTTATAAGAATTTTCAGGAAATAGAAAAGTAACAAAAATAATGACAGCATTAGAAAAATGTACACTTTAAACTACAACGGGTATTTTAAAGTTTTCACTGTTTGTCTGTGTTTTGTGAACCAGGATTTAGTGTTCTGTTCAAAACACATTTAACACAAATGCCAGATGTGTCAAATATGATACAAATTAAAACACATATATGCAAATGAAGGTCAGAAGGTTCAAAAACACACAAAAAACCAAACAAACAAAAGGATTTTTCTAGCAATAATTTCACGATTCAGGCTTTGAAGGGTTAAATTCTCCAGTGGTCACAATGATGGGTTTGAAACCAGTCCACAATCTCTCTAAAACCTCATTCCTCTTTAACTTTCTCTTTCTTCATCGCAAACAACCCAGTGATGTTCAGAAAGAATGCTTTCATGGAATTTTAGCGACTATCTGAAGCTGAAATCGCTAGCTCTGCAAACCCCTCGAAAAGAACACCCAACGAGAATTTGCCACCATAAAATCAAATTTGAAAATCTGCTTCAGCCAAAGAAAGAACATGTTTTGTTTCTTAGTATGAAACCAAGGAGCTGAGCATGGACAGCAGAGGCAACACACCTACAAATGCTGCAGAGCACATACGCACACAGTCACACACACTCACCAAATCTTTTGTGCTCAGAGAAATCAGACGTGCTTGTTTTGTTTTACTGCCTCGTTTACCCCTGGGTATCCCTAATTTTTCACGTTTGCATGCCATTGTTGTCTCACGACATTTTTGTCTGTGTGTGTGTGTGTCTGTGCTCATGTATGTGCTTTAGTGTGAGTGTATGCAAAGTAGCAGTTGCAACAGGTCCAACAGAATATGCACAAAGTTTCAGAGCTCCAGAGCAAAGATGCAGTATAACTGTCTTCACACAATCCAAAACAAATGTCCACACTGAGAGAAATAAGGGGCTGATTGATCTAAACGTGCATGGATTACAAGTTATGGCCATTTATTGTTTTAAACCTTTGCTTTAAATTTGGTGAATCTATGTTGTGCTTGATCGTAATTCCATTTTCACTGTTTTAATTTACTCTATTTTTTAAATTGTTATTATCATTATCATTGCCATCAGTGCTCTGATGACAGACGAGATGGAGTGAGCAAGAGGACCAACTTTCCAACGAATCAACTTTCTGCTCCAAGTGCGCCATCTAGTGTTCAAACACCAAAATGAATAAATCCGTTCAGAGTGTTTAGTTTTCCTGATTTCCTCAGTCCTGCTGTGCTGCATGACAGACACACTAAACCTTAGTAAAAGTGCACGATGCTGCACAAACACTAAGCTGGAGACGGCGGATGTCTCGGGACATTGTTGCTCGTTCATCTCCCTCATTAGACAAATGGAAGGATTCTGTGTATGCTGATCACAATATGCCAATATACATGTCTGAGCACATTGCTAACCTGCTTCCCATCAAGGCATTTCATGACTTTTGTTGTACAAACAGCCGTGTTTATTATCTCTGTCCTGGGAGAAAGCGTCCTGCCTGGTCTTCACACAGGAACCGACTCTGAGCCAAAGCAGTCGGAGCAGACACCAGGCCCCTTCTGTCTCCCACCAACTTCTGGCAGCCATGTTTTCACAACTCAAGATAACAGAGAAGAAGGAGAAGACACGGGGCAGAGAGAAGGTAACAGAGTTTGATAAATGGCACACATGCAAGCAGGAGAGCGAGTGTGTGAGAGATGAAGAGCGAAAGAGACGGAGAGAGGAAGCAACAGAGATGCGGGACAGATGTAGGGAGATTTAGGGGAGTGGGTGGTGAAGGAGCGAGATGAGCAAAAGATACATTGCGAGGTCATCTTAATGTTTATCCACCCACTACAATGATGTGGGTCAATGAGTGTTTCTCAAGAAAGAAAGTGTTGTTTTAGGGTGTTGCAATGATAGCAGGTTCCTTGAGAAAAGCACACATCATTTCTCATATAGTATATTTTTCAAGGAGTATAGGGCCATTTTGCCAAAATACTTTTTTTAAAGAGCGAGAGAGAAACCACTCTAGCAGAGCTTTATCTTCAAAGCAATTTATTTTTAACACAGCACTCCAGTCACTTCATGTTCAGGAACAACCCTGAGCAAGATTACTCACGTCACGCGCTCTCGATGTGTTTAACTGTACGGTAAATGCCGTTGAGGAATCCCCAGGCGAGCTTTACCTAAAAGGTGAGTAAGTGATGTGCACAAAATGGACTATTAAATCTCTGAGCACTGGCAGCCAAGTTGGGTGGGCTGTGGGACTTAGGCATCACCTCCAGGGCCTGCATTAACTCATAAAGATCACTGTCTCTCCCAAACACACCGAGACTGTGTGTGCAGATTTGTGCATTTTGAAAGCACGATGAATGCTGTGCGTATACATACAGGTTTCGTGAGCTCAGTTTGCTTTAAGTATGTTTCTCTGTTTCTCCCACTCCTGTAATTATGGTCGTTGGTATCAGATGAAACCCCACACAGAGCCGATCTCTGGATGTGCCCTTTGCATAAGCAACATCTCGCTGCTAGATTGATGGAGGACCGGAGGAGAGTTCACACAAATGGAGGAGAATTATAGTGTCGAGTTACCTCCAAGTTCTTTTTCTGTGTCGCTTTCTTACTTTTGTTATCTTGTTTCAGTCTCTCCTTTCCCTTCTTTTTTTCCTCTGTTCATTAATTTTCCCTCGCTCATCACTCATTTCTCTACAGTGGCCCACTCATTTTGCATTTCTATGTAATCTCACGCCTCCAAATATCTGTTTTACTGCAAGTAAACGCTCATTTTGTGCACTAAATGTACGGCAAATAAGAGCAGCAGACCACCAAGACTCCACTGTAGCAGATAAGCAATGACAGGACACTATTTATCTGAGTGATGTATGACTGTCTGCAGAGTAACACTGTCAATCCATGAACAGTGGCAGCCCTTCATTAATGCTTTGTGTGTGTCTGTAAGCACTTAGCATCAACAAAACTCGTTCCCGTGAGGGACGATGTTGCAATCTGAAGGCACTGTTTCATTCAAAGGGTCACATGGAAAAATACACCCGTTCTAACCTGGCTACGCACCCGTGCAGACACGCGCAAATGGACACACGCGCTGACGAAGACAGACGCATGCAGCCACATGCGCACAGATGTCGACAGGCAACTTTATTTATATCAATGCTCCAATAAATCTACCTGCTCATCTGTCTATTTTCTCTGGCTTTGGCTGCTCTGCTCTGAACGCCAGCGCAGGTTTAATGCAGGAGGACGAGAGGGCAGAGCAGTGTGTAGGGGACAGGAGGAGAGACGAGCGCCCCATGGCATTTTCTTCCTCTTGGCTTACCTTTCCATTTCTTAAACGCAACTTCTGGCGCGAGTTTTTTGCACCACCAAATTCCTGGAAAATATGAACTTGTGTCAACTTGTACAGCTCAAACTAATACAGGCCCACTTTTCTTTCTTTCTTTTTTTGGCCTCCTTGTCATCTAATTTCTACAGAATAAATGCCCCCAAATGATATATACCTCCTCTTTATGAGTACCACAGAGAATCCTACACAAAGGGTCAGGTTTAGTGAATCACTGAGGTTTAAACCTAACTTGAACTCATGCTGATGTAAAAACAGAGCTCGTAAAAGTCTGATAAACAAGGTGACAGACACCCAAAGCAGTGACATTAGTGAGTATAAATCCCAGGTTTGTGCTGCTCCTCACAAAATCTAGTGTTCAGAGTGATAGACTGGGTCCAAATAACACACTTACATCACTGTAGAAGTAAAACATCAGTGAAATCTATTTTGTTGTGTGGAAATACCGAAACTAAAAAGTATCATCATAGTTTAAATAACAATTTGTCCAACTACATACAAAGTAACTTAATTATCAAAAGGAATGATAATGTATCTGGTTTTGAACGGTGTCTTCGATGTCAGTCACGAGCCACTTGAATCTCTTTAGGCATTTATGTTTAATGAAGCTGCAGTGTTAACATCCAAGTATGCAACCATTTCTCCTGAATACAAAGACGAGGAGCAGATGGAAATAAAAAGCCATATCGGACAAAACTCATTTAAATAAATGACCAATGAACGAAGAAGCTTTGCTGGTTAAAGACGGGCTGAATTATGTTACAGTGACATCGCTGAAATGTTTTTAAAGATTTGCGTTCCCACCAAACCTGATTGGAAAGTGTTAAAAAGCTGAAGAAGGGGGAAATTCTCAAAACACACCACTAGTGATAAGATGCAGCCTCTTCATCACTGCCGTGCTCTGGCTCCGTTCACACAAAAACACTAAGGACTACTGTGACAGCTGTTATCATGACCTTAAGTGGTTAACATCAGCTACAAAATGGACTTGCAGAATAACCATCGGTTAAGTTATAAAAGTCTGTCACACAGCAGACGATAAAAGTGACGAGGAAGCATCCAGATGTGAGCCACGGTGCACCGCTAAAACCAGCTGACTCTAAATTATAAATGCGTACCTACATGAAACCTCGCGCAAACACAAAAACCTGAACAGAACAAACTGAAGCAATGTTGTGTTATAGTTCAGTATACTTGCTGTGCACTGCCAGATAATGCAAACGTGTAAATTAGATGATACAATAAGTTTATGGGTATTTCTGCTGAAGAGGAACAAAAAAAGACCTCGTCTGTGTCGCTCAGAGACAGACTGTCCAGGAGTGGTGTGCTTTCAGTAAGCAGCATACTGCAGTTTAACGACAGCAACAAGATATATACACTGAAGGATATGGTGATAACTGGCCAACCTACACAAACACAATAATGCACACCTTCTCTCACACACACGCACGCACACGCACACAGGCACTTACAGTATCAAATAAAAGCTAACATCCATAGTGCATTATTATTATTATTATTAGCCCTGTATATCATAATATATAAACAAAATGCATCATATACATTTTTTTGATAACAAAAAAATATCATGAAAAAAAAAAGGTTTCTATTTTGGTTCAGGAGAAACAGCCGACTGCAGGTTTGATTGCCAAGCTGATGAGGACGTCCGTGGCAGCTGCTGCATCCAAAGTGCTTCTGAGAGACAGACGGAAGCAAGTAGTCATCATATCTTTATATAAATAAGAGTCTCTGCTGGCAAGCCAAGTCCGCACCTGCAAAGCATGGTGTTAACAGCATCTTTGCAACTATAACAACGGTTTACAGTTTCCCTTTTTTACATTTTTCATGTAGTAGCAGAACAACAGGTCAAGACCAGCATCGTTTTGTTTTCTCACTATGTTGATTCGCTGCAGTTACAATAACTGAGACACAGTTTTTGGTAAATGCAAACTCAAGAATATGATTACACTTGTTAAGACGGAATATATATGAAAGATGGGTGTAGCCACCAAAACCATCCCCATTGGCATGTTCATATGGGGGTGATTTGCCACGTCCTGCTTTACTGTCAGTTTTACCTGAAATGAGCCCATCGTTTACAAACTGATTGAAGAAGACTTGAAAACAGCAACCGAGGCTATAAAGTCATTACGTATTGGGGAGTTGCTCCCTGCTGGGTTTTGGAATTAAGCAGGTTTAAGGCACTTTTGCATTTACTTCACTCTTTAGGTCCGGAGGCTACGTCCATCTTTTATGTCAAGTCTATGAGCTTTACACCGTTAGATAACAGTACGTCTATGAGCACTGGAATGGAATATGGGCCATAGTGAGGTCCTTAATCTTCTTACTACCCTGCAGAATATCGTGGAATAAAAGCAACGTCTCCTATTAAGCAATGTTGTTGAACTGCAGGTGGAAGGAGGATATGGCATTGTTTCCATTGTTTCCATTGTTTCCATTGTTTCAACTTCTGACTGAGCTTGATAACCATAAACTCGAGATCCTCTGCATCTTTCACGCTATCCAAACTAAAGCAAGAACTTCAACAAGTAACAAAAGTAGTTGTAATTAACAAAGTAATTTGACTACTTTCAACTTTAGTTCGTCAGTGACAGAGACTAAGCTCTTTTCGAACCATGCACTTTTTGCACTGGACGACACAACACCAGTGGAAACGGCATAAGCAGTTCTCCTCAAACACCACCGTCTCCTCCCGGAAGCCTCGCTCGCAGCACAACAAATCACAGCCGCTAATGTCCATGGCCGTGCTGTTGCATATACGCCCCTTTGTTCCCAGCGAACCTGTTTTTCGATTTGCGAGGCAGAAATCCGGAGACTCGTCCGAGTAGATCAGATCCTGCTTGTCCGGAGGTTTGATGTTCTGGCCCACAGGGATCAGGGTTTTCCCGTCATTGCCGCCCATCACCTTCGAGGCGCCGTTGAATCGCTCCAGCAGGCGGTCGCCCACTTCACGGAAATGCGGCATCTTTTTCCAGCACGTGCGCAGCGTGCACGAGCCTGACAGTCCGTGGCATTTGCACTCAGTCCTCATGTAGAGCTTTACTGCCTAAAGGGGGGAAAAGGGAGGTGAAAGAGGGCAGACAGGTGAAAAAAGAGAGGAGAGGGTTTATCAAGCAGAAAGAAGGACAAAAACAGTTAACTTGTACCCTGAAGTGAAGCCGAGCTGCTTATGACAAATGACTAATTCGCCTAAGAAGAATTTATTATTGTGTTTTCATGATATATGACAGACAAAGGCCCTGGATCACACACACACACACACACACACACAGACACACACACACACACACACACACACACTGATAGATAGGTAAGATAAAAGCAGACGCTATTCAGAAGGAATTTAACTCCCCAGCCCCCCTCTCCCTCCACGTTGCCTCTGGCCTTCCTACATCTAACAAGCCTTGACAACAGATCATTCACTTATAATGCACATAATCACACCCTCACACACACACACACACACACACACACACACACACACACACACACACACACACACACATGTGTATAAAAGTAGACATGCATTCATGCACATAAACAGACATTTGGGCGCATCGCAGCACGCTTATTTCTCAACCTCTGGGAATTTGTGTGCAAGTTTCTTCCTATGTTCAAACAGTTTGTTCACTAATGCTACAATTGGACTGCATCCCAAAAACCCTCCTCTCTTCCTCTCTACCTGCCGCTGACCCCAACTAAAGTGAACTTTATAATTCGGTGTTGCTTGTGCATCTTTTAACAATTCTGCAACGAACTCAAACAGCGACAACGCCGCACAAGGAAATGTGATCCTGAAGATTTGCCAGCGTTCTTCTTATAAACAAACACCAAACTAAACTTGCTCCTTCATCTTCCAGTAGCGTCATGGTGGTAATTCACAACACAGAGGAACTTTTAACTTCTACAGTGGCAGTAGAAAGGCTGCCTCCGAGGCTCAAAAACAAAGCGCCGGGCACGTTCTTGTTTTTTTTGTTTCAGAAACCCGATTCTTGTTAGAATATCAGCTTACGGCACGACACAAATATGGCTGGAGGCCGCGGCTTTCTCTTTTCGCATGTTAGTGGAATGGAAAGAAGCATTCCAATGGACAACCGACACCTTTGTCGAACTTTATCAGCAGGTGAAACATGCATTCTTACTACATTTGAACAGGATACAGAAACTTTGTGAAACTGCTTACCAGTCTGCCAGCTTCGTTATTGTGCAGGTCGACGAGCGTCCTGATGTCACTCTTGCCTTTCCTCCTCTTGGCATCCATAAACTGCTTTGACTTTTCATAACCAAACTCCACATCATCTCCACAGCCCCCCCACTCCCACTTGACCCCGTCTCCAGAGGAGGACGGCTTCGGAGGCGGTCTGTTCCTGGTGGCCTCACAGCCGCACTGCAGGAGGTCTCCCATACTGCAGGCCTGCGTCACAGAGTGGGTCACACCGGCGGCTGTGATGGCATAAACAAAAGCTGTCTCCCGGATATCTACAGGAACAGGTACAAGCAAAAGAGGGGGTTCGGTTACTGAGTCTCCATGCAGCATTATAAAAGTGCTCACAAAGAGTAATTCCACAGATATCTGATGACTTTTACCAAAGTTTGAAGGAATTCAAAGTAATGACAACTTATACAGCCCCACTGCAAACATGTAAAATACAGGATTGTATAAATATACGCCATACACATTTTCTATTCTAAATCTTCTGGATGTGAGTTTTAGATTTAATACAGGCGACATCGATGTCCTTATAGAACCTTGGCATCAAGCATTACAGCTCCTGCCTGATCATTTTCTACTGCAATGGGACAGTTCTCCTCATCTCCAGTCCCCCTTTCGCGAGATCTTCCCCAGGGGACAATTCTCTGTGCCGTTTCGATCTCATACACACTACACTGCCAAAAGTATTCTCTCGTCTGCCTTCACACGCATATGAAGCTGAGCAACATCACATTCTTAATCCACAGGGTTTAATGTGATGTCGGCCCACCCTTTGCAGCTATAACAGCGTCAACTTTTCTGGGAAGGCTTTCCACAATTTAGGAGTGTGTTAATGGGAATTTTTGACCGTCCTTCCAGAAATGCATTCATGTCTTTATGGACTTTGTGCACTGGTGTTCCCACAAAGTTGGGAACACCAAACACCCCCCCACCAAACACAGTGCAGTCAGACAAGTACTGTTCTCCTGGCAATCACCAAACCCACACTCTGCCAGATGCTGATTTGTCACTCCAGAGAACATGTTTCTGCTTCTCTGGAGTCCAGTGGTGGCGTGCTTTCCACCACAGCATATGACGCTTTGCATTGTAAGGTTTGGATGAAGCTTGTGAGCCCGTTCCACGAAGCTTCACCGTTCTCGAGTTAATCTGAAGGCCACGCGAAGTTTGGAGGTCTGTAGCGACTGACTCTGCTGAAAGTTGGTGACCTCTGAATACAGACGGCAGTAAGTGTTCATATATGGGTGATGCTCCGTAAATACAGAGCTGATTTTGCTGATGGGTCGCAACAAAATCTCAAATCTTATGTCTCTCATGTAAAATGCTGGATGTCATAAAACTTCATCTGGCTCCACAAACCTGACTGGAAACACTTGGTGTCCAACTTCTTTGATTCTGATTGTTGCTCAAACCTCAGCTGACAGACTTGCAACAACTGAGACTTTAAAAGCCTTACATACATGTAAAATATGTGCATGAAGCTCTTCTGGTGGGATGAGTTTAGTTTTTACGTCCAACTGTCCAAAGTTGGGATTCACAACATTTGGACACATATTTTTCATTAAGTGGTCAGTATCGCTCCACAGTCAGCTGCAGGACAATAAAACAACAAGCATCCCTCCACATCTGTCTCTGCATCCCATCAGTCGATATCTCAGCCCCACGGAACAGGATAAGAGCGCTTCTCTCTCAGTCCTGCTCGATTACGACAACTGAAGCGTCGCTGGCTTTGTGGTGCTGAGGACGGCTATTTCTCTCTCAGGCCAACATAACCGTACACACAAGCTCTCACACGCCACAGCTGCTGGTTTATTTCGAGTGCATGGCTTAACGCTGCTGGTTAAAGCCGTGCTCAACTACAACTGCAAATCGATCGTCTGTCTCCCCGCGGGTGCTTCAGCATTTCTGCCACCCACAGATCAGCGTGTCTTTATCCGGGGTTCGAGCAGCTATTGTCCATCACCTGACAGAAAAAGAGCAGCTATAAAAAATTGCTGAGAGCTAATGCACGTGAACACTGCTCTTACTCTTACTTTAAATTGAACGTTTGTTGCAGAACAAACTGGAATAAAAAAGATTTGTGTGTTTGCCCTTTTTTTTTATGGCGAGCAATAACAACACACTGATGCTGCTACCATGTGCTGTGCAGCCAAAGCCCATACAGGGCTTGAATGATTGGCCTTCTGAATGTCGATCTTCAGGATAGAAGAACAAAACCAAACATTTACAGTTTAACACGTTAGCAAGTAATATTATCATAAGTTAATAACGACACGCGTGTGTATGTGATATTTACTATTTTAGCATGTTAACAAATGCTAGCTGATGGGGACTAAACCACAACTGAGCACCTGCTGCTTGAGTAAAGAGGTTTATTTAGACCTCACGAGCTGCATCGCCAAAAACAACAGCGTTGCCCTCTGACCTGAACATAAGTATAAGAAGCACAAGAATTATAAGAAACTTTCTTCAGGTTTAGAATAAGACAGACAAAAGATACTGCTGTACTGTTGCGTGAAAACATCAAAGCTTCCACTCTGTGCAGTCGTGCATCAGTAAGTTGTGGAACCACATTAGTCTCTTTAAAGTGTTTGCAGACATTTGTTTATGCACAGCTCTCTGAAGGATTTCATCACAACATTTCCATCAGGTCGAGGTCCCGAGTACCAGTATGCCCAGTGTGCCCAGTGCCTGAGCACCTTGCAAATACTGAGTATGAGTTTTTTGGCAGATGTGGTGCTGTGCATTATCTGGCGAAGTCTTGTCGTTTGTTCAGATGCAGTTTTGCAATCCTGCACCGTGCTGCCATGTTCATTTTAGAGAGAAGACGCTTTCTTCTGACTATCCTCCCATGCAAGCCATACTTTTTCATTTTTCCTAAGAGTGCTTTCATGAACTTTAACATTAAACATGCTAAATAAAGCCTGTAGAACCTCTCAGCTGTAGCTCTTGGTTTTCTGCAGTTCTGTGACAGACTGTGACGTTGTTGGGACACACACGAATGCTCCAGATTTACAGAGGTGGCCACACTTGCTGATCATCAAGAGTTAATCAAATTGACATTTAATTAGAAGCACCTGGCTGTACTTACCTTCTCAATTCTTATGGAGGCAGTAAGGTGTTCTTAGTTTATCACAGGACTGCACACGTGTGTGTGAGGTCGTTAAGTGTGCAGGGATAAAAAAATATGATAACAATTTATAGGAAGATGTGTTTTAAATAGTGTAAGGCCTGCTGAGGATAAACTAAACGAAAAAACATCTAAAAATAACCTCTGAAGAGAATAAAACACAACAGTTTCACAGGTTTGAGGGAAAAATCTTATTTTAACCACTGTGTGCTGAGTTTACATGAAGCAAAAGCATTTTTATTTCTAGGAGCTGGAAGGCAGCGGCTGTGCAGTCACCACTATCAACACTGCCAGCTCTATATCGCATGATTCACTGAATGGGATTCATTAGGAATGGTAACACACACACACACACACTCTGGTACAAATGCTGCATGTCCCGTCTCACATATCTAATCCTCAGATTTACTGAGCTGGTTCCAACATTTTACACAGCAGCTCTTCACGACACAGAAGACGAGCAGACTATTGTGAAGTGTTAAATGCTTCAAACTGCATAAAACAATATTTTTCACACACAAACTTTTACGAGTGTGCCTGCACCGGAGACATCTCTGGGTGTCTTACAGCTGGTATTGATATCAAGGCTCGCTGGGGTGAGCAGGTTTTGTCGCACGCCACCCAGTCTGTTTGTGTGTGTGTGTGTGTGTGTGTGTGTGTCACAACTTAAGCAGACCACACCTTTTTGTTCCTACCATTCGGCAGAAGGTTATAACTGCAAACGTACTCAAATTAAAATGTGTCATCTCCAAAGCATCCCTCCAACTATTTAGAAACACATGTGTGAAACAGCAGCACTTAAATCATTAGTACAATATGGTGATAGCAACACGTGCTGTGTCCAAACAAGCCGAGAGGCCATCCAGATGTCACCAACTGTGCTTGCAAAGCACGACGCTGAGCAGAGGAAATCTCCACGGCAAAAACTGAACATGAAAAGTGTTGTTTGACATGTTTTTCACACATTTCAGTTTTGAGGGCATCAACTAGCACAAGGCAAAAATATCCTCTCTGTAAAAATGGGCCGACAGCATACACGAGGGGGGAAAGCAGAAGGCTTAAAGAAGAGGGAGAAAACGAAGGGAGAGGAGGAAAGAAGCTATCAAAAATTTGATGATTTGAGGCACCCTGTTTCACATTTTCCTCGCAGACATGAATTCCAAACAAATTCCCTGCCACGCTGGGTGTCTGGGCCTGTCTACGTCTGCTTCGATTTCAAAAAAGTCCTTCTGCAGGATCTACAACATATTATTTTAATCGCTTTTTCATCTTTTAGAGGTCATCATCTAAACGTGATCAGGGACGTCAAGCAAAGCTTAAAAAGGATTACAGCGCAGAGGATCCATGCTATAGGAAAACGTTTGTTTAGGTGAACTGTGGTCATATCGAGTGAGTTTCAAAATGTAAGATCAAAACTTGCTCATAAAAGAAAATCTCTGTCAGAATTTACCCATGAAGTGATTCATACTTTTTAAAAACAAGGAACACCCAGATGGGACAGTTTGAGGAGAGGTGGGGAACTCCTGATATAATCACATATGGTGTGTGGAAATTAACAGTATCTATAAATCCAAACACATATCAGAAGAGACGGGTTGTATGTTGGGGCTGGACTTCAGCAGTTCTCACTCTCACAGGAGGTCAGAAGGCTACATGCTCGTTTCAGGCCCCTCTTCTGTGGAACCAGATCCCATCCTGGACCCAGGAGACAGACACTATCTCTACTTTTAAGGCTTCAAACGTTCCTTTTTGCTAAAGCATATAGTTAGAGCTGGACCAGGGGACCCTGAATCCTCCCTTAGCTACACTGCGATAGGTGTAGGCTGCTGGGGGATTCCCATGAGGCACTGGGTGTTTCTTCTTCACTCACCTCTCTGCATTGAATCATTAGTCATTATTAATCTCTGGCTCTCTTCCACAGCTTAATATCCACGTCCATGCACACAGTGTCAGTTTAAAGGCTCATTAATGTTAAAAACACTGACAGGAAAATAAAACATCCTGAAACCCGTGTGTCAATCAATCAGCACAGAATCTGAATCATATCTGTGAGTCAGCCTGAGAGCATCATTAGTGAGAAGGTCTCAACGTTTCTGACATGATTGACGCTCGGCTTAATTAACGTGAAGCCCCAAAGCAAGAGGCCTTGGTTCGTAACACAGGACAGAATTTCACACACAACTTTGCACACACAATTTGGAATATCTCCTATGTGATTACCAGCATCACTGTTTGGGGGCTGGCTCGCACTGGGAGCCATGCTGGCTCCATGGTCTGTATGTTTTCGAACACAGAGAGGATAATAAAGACTGATGTCAAGAAAGCAGAAGTCTTTGTTTGGGAGATAAGTGTATGTAAGATGTTTATGGCCCAAGAAGAAAACAATCCGATGCACATGCAAAATGAGCCACTGGGACACATCCACACTGTCAACTATCACGTGCTCAAATTTGGCAACGACTCTCATTTTAACACATTTTACCAGTCCTACCATTGCTCAGTGCTGCTCCAGAATCCCTTTTTTCCCACAGACAGTGTTTGTTGTGCTTCCTTTGTCTGTATTCTGTACAAACCCTGTGAAGCTGAGCGTTAGCAGCAGTCCACAGCATGCAGCTCATGTCCATACTGTGGGGAAATGCAGAGCGATTCCCCACAATTACAGGAGCCGATACCTCACAATTTCTATAAAAATAACTCAAACTAAATCCAGTTTAATCTCCAAGCCTTAAAATGGGCAAAGATCTAGACACAACTTGTGAACCAGTCTGTGGTACTTTCCCAGTTTGTTTGTTTTTGGCAGGGTTTATCTCATGCACCCACAAGTTTCTCAAAGCCCACGTCAAGAACTGCTGACGATGCCAGGACACAATTTCTTTCCGTCTTTTTTAAGACAACGTGCCTCTTGTTGTGTTAAAAGATGGTTTTTGTACCCAAGCAGCAAACAAACATTTACATTTAACGTACGCAGGGAGGTGAGGTAGTAAATGTTGTGTTCACTTGTCTTCCAAACCAGAAAACAGGCCCGTCTTCTAGTCCTGTCTAAATTTAGACACTAAAAGCCTTCTGGTTAGGTTTTGCAACAGGTGTTCTGAGTTAAAATTCAGCGTTTCACAGCATTAACAGCATGCTGCAAGGCAACCTTTTCCCATCTGCAAAAAGCTTTTCCTTCACAGGGACCTGGGACCCCGCAGAGCACATCTGCCTGTGATCGTATGATGCCGATTTCCCATGTTGACTGACTTGTAATGAAATTAATCAGAGCGCCCTGCACGTGATACAAAAAAGGTGGCCAATTTGTTAAAATATACAGTTCTTGACCGAGCTTCAGTCTGTGATGAGACGGGAGTGAGGACACGTTGGCCCTTGTGTCAACGTGTTCACTCATTCAGACGTCTCGCACTAAAGCTTTGAAATGGCAGTGTTTCAGTTGTGTTGTGAAATCAGCTAAAACCCCTGTTATATAAACACACACACACACTAAGTTTTCACCTTCAGTGTTTCTCTTCCATCTGCTGTCTTGACGCAAATCAAAAACTAAACATTTGCACCATGGATCCTTGTATATGCGTTTTCTTTCCATACACCGAGACGTACTGAGTAATAGTTTTCATCATTATATGCACACACACACACACACACACACGTGCTGCACAGTTATTAATACAAAATAATTCAAAGCTCTTATTCCACCGACTGCAGCTACAGTCGTTCCTTGTTTCCTCAGAGAGTCGTGTTGACGTACAGCAGCGATGCAGCTCAAGATAAATCCTTTTCACAAACACAGCAAGAAATACACAAATGCCATCACTCAGGTCTTTAAACTGCTCTTAGGCTGTTTGCTAAACAGGATTCGAAGCCTGTTTAACTCAGTCAGTAAAACACCTTTCCAATGTACACGTGAAAAAGCACACAGATGGATGAAACGTGATTGGTAAGAATCATTAGGATTGGGAGAAAACTCACAGTACTGAACAGTGCCCAGCGAGTCGGCTGCTGGAGTAACCGTAGGTAAAACAAAAATAGCAAAAATAAGCGAATAAAGCAAATAGAAACACGATGCCTGCGGTGAATCGATGAGTTGGCTGCCACAAACACAGCAGCAGAGAGTGACACAAAATGAGACGAGCAATCAAAGGAGTCGAGGCAGCTTCCCTTTTCAAACCTACGCACGGCGTAGCTGTGCTGCTGCTGCACGTGACCTGACAGAAATCGTGCAAAACGCAGCCTTCGTTTTTCTGCAAATACAAACTGTCATGAAAGTGTCTCTGTAAGAGTGTGTTGTTGCAGAACTGTAGAGGTCAATGAGGTTAAGCAAACCACTTACAGCCAGAGAACATTAAATATGAAGGCACTTTTATTTTGACATGTAGTGCTACTAGTCTATGATAAACAGCCATTAAGAGCAGATGCAGGTAATTGTGGACAAAGGCTTTAAAGCAGCGGAGCACTTTGGCCTCCCTTATAGACAGCCAGGAATTCATGATTAATTGCTAGTCTGTCTCCTACCGGTAGATTCTTGCCCTTTTCCCTCTTCTCTCCCTTCCTCTCTCCTTCTCTCTTTTTCTCCTTTCTTTCTCTGTCCAACAAGACTGGTGTCATAAATTCATATAGGAGACAAAAACAGTCTTTGGTCCACCTTCATTACAGAAAAATGGCTTTTCTGATGTCACACTGTTATTGAGCTGTAGAGCTTAACAAGAGAAGGCATTGAGAGCATTATTGCATCTATAATTATAAGTTATTAAAGTTAAAAGAAACATAAACTTCTCCATAAACTTCAGTTTCGCAGGTCTTCTGTGTTGATTGTAGGGGTGAGTAAACATATCTGACACATCTAACGGGTATTTGAAATCTCTCAGCCGCGTAATATGTTAGTTATTTTGATTTTGTCTCAGCTGAAAGGAGCAAAAATGCCTCCTGATGCAAAAACTTATTGTGTTTACCTTCATTTAGATGGGACGCACTTCTTACTGTCAGGCCACATGAAATCAGAAGTGCTCCAAAAGGGAAACTTATTGGATTTTAATGGCAATCGTGCAGTTCTAGTATGTTACTATCTAGAATTATGACACATCAGAGCCAAACTTCATTTTGCACATCGTCCCCCACTGAGGCAGAAATGAGTTTAATGAAATGTTTGGCACGTTGTGTTTCCTTTGCTGTAAATTAATAATACGTGTGCCTTGTTTGCTAACTAAACACAAAGATAAAGGTCCTCTGTAATGCAAGTCAACGGAGAGACAAGAAACTCTCTATGAATCTAATCAGACAAGAGAAAAAACCAACACAGTAATTGCAGAAGACCCAGCGGTGACCCTGCGTCAGTTATATTACAGACTTCAAAGAGTTGGAGGAAGATGTTAGGAGATCTTAGGAAAGATGTTAAGAGAAAGGGCATTCTTAGCTGATCATTTCAGGCATGCCCAATCTGATGAAGAGGAGAGTCAGTCAAGTGTGAATACGTCTCCTCAGACATACAACAGCTGCCCTTGTTTGTTCGAGTGCCATCAGGCAGGCTTCTGACCTCAACTGATGCAAGGACAGCGGCTATAACCGTAACCCCGCTGAAGACACGACAGCTTCAAATTGAATTTTGGCTTGTAGCGCCAGGTAGACATGAGAATGATTTAAATCTTCTTATTTAACTCGCAGCACTACTTCCAACTATTCCTTCAAGACTGCATGCATTTTACTAAGAAGAGGCAGACGAAGTCACTCACCTTGTTGAAGTATTTTCCCAAAGTATTTGTGGTGGCTGGTGCAGTTCCACCTGCGGTACCTGAACTGGTACTGGCACTCCCGGACGCCCAGCCTGGCTCCTTTGGCCACCTCGTTGATGATCTCGGGCTGAGTCTGGCACAGCTCAGCCTGTTTCCCCGCCAGGCGCTTTGCCTTCCTGCAAATGCTGTTGGGGTCCATGACCAGTGGACTGCCCACCGCCCTGTTTGAACAATGTTAGAGAAGAAGAAGAAGAATGGTTTCTAAGCAGCGTTATGACAACAGAGAGTTCACGCGGCTTATCTTGTCACTCGGGAAACTCTGCAATCATCAGTCGAAGAAGGTTTTTCTTTGGCTCCTCTACCCACCACATCTCAGCCATGCGACAATGTGCTTCTTGAATCAGCATGTGGGAGAAAACAGCATAGTTTCCCAGAGGAATCCTGACTCTGATGTCAGATTGGCAAGTTTAGATTCTGTTATTGGACTGCGCTCGGAGGAACTGTGCGGTCCTCAAAAAGTTGGAAGTCATGTAGTTGGACGGCTTTTTACAGTTGATTTTGATGCTGCTTAAGTTGATTTTGGTAAACCAGACGGCAGTCTTTCTAGATTTCCTAACGATACAGCCTCTCTGTAGATTTTAGAGACGTTAAGAGCTTTGCTGCTTAAACCACACAGAGTCCTCAAAGCAGCGCTCCTTCAGGGAATCTGCACATATTATATTACAGAAAAGAAGAAGAAAAAATGTTTAAATGTGAGGGAAAATAAATCAAGCTCGCTTCATGAAGTTTAAATATTTAAAACATTAATATGTATATACATATTTCTTGCATTTGATGAATACAACTGTGATCGTCCTGAGCAGCTTTGACAGATTAGTGTATATAACACAGATAAATAGTTTATTCTAACTCTTAATGGGAAAGGGGGAATTGGCTCTGCCACGTGGAATCACTGCCAGCATTTGTGGACACTTCAGTGTCACTACAGGGAAAGTGACTTCATGAGAGGACTTTATTTCCACTCTTTGCTTTTCTCATCTCTGCCTGCTGCCAGTTTATCCTATGTAGAACACCTACTCCATGTCTGCTCTGCATCTTTTCATGCTTTTTGTCCCTGGATGCCAGCAGATGTGATTCATAAGTTGAGGTTTTACAATTAAATAGGGAGGGAAGGAGAAAGCGAGGGCGAGGAAAAGGCCAACCCATAGTTTTCATTCAGCCTCGTTCCTGTTAATAGCGCCTCCTGATATCATTCTTCTGCCTTGAGAGTTTGCTTTAAGAAGCAGAACAAACACGCTCGCCAATTCTCTCCGCTGGCGGTCTGATACCCAGCACAGGCTCCTGCGGTCGTTCCTGCGTGTTTTTGTCTATTTTTAGACTGATATAATAATTTAGATGGCAGGCCAACATGTCAGCGGACGACAGAATTAAAAGTATCTTTCACACATAAGAAAGTTCGTGTTAGCCTCTTTGCTGAAAGAGGCGATTGTGGCTCAAGAGTTGGGAGTTCGCCTTGTAATCGGAAGGTTGCCGGTTCGAGCCCCGGCTCGGATAGTCTCGGTCGTTGTGTCCTTGGGCAAGACACTTCACCCGTTGCCTACTGGTGGTGGTCAGAGGGCCCGGTGGCGCCAGTGTCCGGCAGCCTCGCCTCTGTCAGTGCGCCCCAGGGTGGCTGTGGCTGCAATGTAGCTGCCATCACCAGTGTGTGGATGATGACTGGATGTGTAAAGCGCTTTGGGGTCCTTTGGGACTAGTAAGGCACTATACAAACACAGGCCATTTACCCTTTAATATGGTACCACCGGGACTTTGTTATGTTACAATAGCAGAAGAACACATTTCTAAAGCACCTAATCCCGAATAATCATCCATTATACAGAGAGCACAATGGGAAAAAGCCGAATGTCATGTTATATGATGAAAGTGCACTGGCATCTCCACACACAACTGTGGGACACCCACTCTTCCATTTCTTCTGTGTGTTGAAAACACTGCTATGGAAACAATGCTGTATTTTCATTACAGGTGTTCTGTGTAAACAGTGTAGCTGTGAGGCTACAATGAGTGTTTGTGTGGTGATCCCACAGATAATTGAAACATACAGACAGTGTGTAGGTGTTAATTACCAGGTACAGGTAAAATACTTAGCAACATACACTCCCTCCCAAAAACCACTTATTATCTACCCACTGCCACCGGGGAGCATGTGTGAGAGAGCGAGGAAGAGATAAATGTCACATTTTTGTCTATGCATGCAGGTGTACGTCTTTGCAGTCTGTCTGGGCTGTGAGAAAGGCAAGACGCTCGTTGGTGCGTATGTCTGCAGGAGGGCTCATCACGTGCACGCGGCCCGCTCTGTCAGCAGCTCGCAAAAACCAGGGTGGCTTTTATAATAGCAGACCCGTAAAACTAGTGAATGCGCTCGAGTTTTATTCCGACTTCTGTCCACGGCATTCGAAAAATCCACAGACAGCTGGAGCCTCACAAACAAATATATAGATAGATATCGGGAGAGAGCCAGAGAGGCTAAAAAGGAAGCTATGAAAGGATAAATTTGGCACCAGGATCCCTTGTTCACTACTACATATTACTCCACCTGACACTACTCCATGCACATGCTGACTTTATGAAATGCATTCATGTTATTTCCTTGTCTCCCTGTTCAAAAGGGCACAACACAGGTTTTTCACTTCACACCTTCTGTGATGCAGAGTTTTGCTCTCGGGATGAACGTAGCATTTAAGACATCAGCGTAACTTTGTGCTGAACTATTTTGCTGGTAATACCTGAAATGAGTAAAGAAAATCAACAGCCTAATTATGCAAGATAATTCATCATTTTATTGGCTGGTTGGGTTTGATTATTGGGGGGTCATAACCCCCCTAACCCTCTGAAAATTACACCCCTGGTTTAAGAAAGCATCTTGTCTTTTGTTCTCTCTTTGTGCTGCTGCTCACAGCGGACCTACACAGATAAGCGGCTTATTCCCACGAGGCAATCTGCTTTGTATTTGTTTTTAAACTTGTACAGTATACATACAGTGAAAAAGCCCCATTATTCCCGGCTGTCGAAGGCGAGCACACTGTCCCATCTGTCCAGTATCATCTCCGCAGGTTGAATCCTGAGTTTTCTTTGATTAACCACGTTTTTTTAAAAACTGAGATCAATGTCACAGAGACCTGGTTATTGCCAGATCTGTTGCAAAAAAAAATCACTTAAATCGAGACTGTCCGACAAAGTGAAGGGGGCCAAAAGATCACAAATAACAGCAAGTAAGTAATGCAAAGTCTAAGCCTTTGGGACTCCAGCGAATCACAGTGAGAGCCAACGTTCACACATGGAGACAACTTGGAACTGTGCTGAAACTTCCCAGGATTACAGTCGAACACGGTGGTGGTTGTGTGATGGTTTGAGGCTCCTTTGCTGCTCCGGGACCTGGACCACATGAATTCTGCTCTCTACCAGAAAATCCTGAAGGAGAATGTCCGACCATCAGTTCATGACATGAAGCTTAAGCGGACTATTGCAGCAAGTCCGAAATGAAGGTTTTCAAAGTGTAGACTTAAATCAGACTTAGTTGACCTTAAACAGGCGCTCGTGCTGGAAAAGCCTCCAATGTGTCTGAATTAAAACTATTCAGTAAAGCAGAGTGGGACAAAGCTCCTCCACAACAGAAAGACTCATCACCAGCACATCACAAACAGCTGGAGATTTTGCTGACAAGGCAAAAGCATTTATTAAGATTAGGAAGCAACTACTGTTTCACACAGAGCAGGTAGGTTTGGACAGGTTCTTTCCCTTAATAAAAACTGTGTTTGCTCTTCTTCTTTTTGCTTAATATAAACATTTATTTAAAGATTCAAAACATGCGACAAATTTGACAAAAAAAGTAGTCAGGAGGCTACATATATGTGTGTGTGTGGCTTTAACACCTGTGAGCTCGGGCTTTGACTCTAAATGGTCCGTTTGACATTTGACATCCATTTATCAAAGAGATACGTCACCATGGGCATCTCAGGCAAACAGCTCTGGCTGTGAACCTTCTGTTTGCCAGGGGCAGCCAATCAGAAGAAATTTGCCTTCGAGAGAGGCTGGCCTTAAATGGGAGCGAACAGCTTTTTATAGAGAGCAAATGAACACTGAGTGGCAGCACGAAAGCCCAGTGTGAGATAAATATGGATTATTTTGACAGCAAAGCTCCCAAACGGAGCTGGACGTGAGAGATAAAGTTCCCCTTTAAGGTTGTGTCACGCAACACAGTGCCGTCTTCAGCTGCATAACAATTGTTATGGTATACCTTAATATAATTATAATAATTAGCTAGCTCTCGACAAGCAGAAGCAAGCCCCGGCATGACCTAAATAGAGTCATTACAAAGTAAACTTAATTAAACTCAGAGCTTTTGCAAGTTTTAACAATTAGGAGCGATATCGACATAAATGGATACATCAAAGCACGATCGTGCAACGCTGGGACACAGTAGGAAGAAATCATGCCTGAATTTTGGCTGCACATCGGTTGGGTAATGTGGGTTCATCAGACTCAGAAGTTTAGACAAAGGGCACGAGGAGAGTGGGAATGATGGAAGTGAGGTGAACTCAGGTGGAAGAGCACATTGCTGCAGATATACCCAAAAATGGGGTGCATTAATTCAATGATGGGATCAACGTGCTGTAAGTGCCCGGCATTCTTGCCCTTGTTTGGAGACTGAAACATTATAGTGTGCATCAGTGTGAGGAAGGGGAGACTCTGGACTCGCTTTACCGTGGATCCAAAAAGTGCGGATTTCAGGTGCAAAAAAAAAAGCAGGAAAAAAATGTTTGTAATGTCACGAAAAATGCTGATGATCCACGCAGGTGCACTTACAGTGCAGACACAGATAAAAGCTTGCATACACGTCCAAGTAGGAACTTCAAAGCCGGGCAAGTAATCAGATCCTCTTCATGCAAAGTGCCACTGTTCTTCAGTCAGTCATTTATGATACAGCTCCTGAGCAGATAACCCAGTGCAAAACACTGAGAGGGAAGTTCAGTCATTGATCGTATCAGCAGCTTTGAGGAAACACTGTCTCGCATGAACAGTTCTTCTTGAAGATAAAGAGCCGGGCACAGGCAGAGGAACGCGGCAGGCGGAGATAAAACAAGGCTGAGAATCACAAGTACTCGAATCAAAGGCACTGATAGGAAAACGATCACTGCTATGACAAATATTCAGCTGCTCCAATCATGAGCTAAACATCTACAGTTTGTCTGCAGTTCGGTCTGCAGATTCTTTCTTTGTACTCTTTATTAAAAAATAGGTGTCAGGCATGATCAAAGGTCTTGGATTGATAGTTTTTCACAATGGCAATAATTATATAATAACCATATTATTTTTAGTTCACAAAGGGATTCAACACTGGCACTCATAGAGACCTCATATCTCATTAAAGATCTCACGCCACCGTGGAGCTGTGGGCCTTTCTCTTTTTTCCACTCCACCCATGAATGAGTGAATTTCATCCCTCCTTAATCCCTCAAGTATGCTGCAGATGAATACAGTCACGACAGGCGCTAGTCTGAGACGCCGGAGCGAACGAGACAAAGGGAAAGGGTCGGCAGGAGTGTGAAAATGGAAACAAGATGCTGGGCTTCGTTAGAAAACAAAAAGGAAACCGTTCACATGTGATGTAAATGTGTGCAAATTCAAACATGCTGTTCCCAAACTAAATTTCAAAACGAGCTCCTGGTTCTCGGCTTCGCTGTTTCTCGGTCCTCTCAGCCTGAACGTGTCGATCGCTTTCAAACACGCTCGATCCTGCTGACACGCTGCCGTGAAACGAGCCTGAAACGGTGACATTTGCTGCCATAAAAAGTTTCAGCACTCATAATGGAAGCAAAGGCAATTAAATGTGACCAGCAGGAAACCAACAACGCCGCGCTAATGTCACGAGAAAAACATTATTCTGGTTTAACAACCGTGGCACACCCAGTGACAATTAACAGATACATTTCTGAGTCAAAATATGGACATATTCACATGACTGCATGAAAGAGCTCAACAGCACTCGTGGAAGATGGAAGGCAGATCCTGTTTGTGTGTCGCAGGCGTGATGACACATAAAATAAAGCTTTAGAGCAACTAAACTGTCTCTTTCCTTTTAAGAATAACGTGCACCACCAAGCTGTGGTTGCCATAGTGACATCTGTCTATAAACGAAGCCAATGTGTGAAGATGTTTCTGCCATTTCAGATTCAGATTTTTAGATCAGATCAGTTATTCACGTCTCAAAGTTTAAGATGAGAGAAACAGCCTCGGCACATACTTTTACCATTTGATTGAAATGCAGGCAGCAGATTAAACGTCTGTAAAAGGTTTTGAAGGGTTTGCACGAGCGGTTTTTAAGAACAGGCTGACGGGAATCGAACCCGTGTTCTTATCCGACACCTAAATGTGAAAGGCATCAAAGTAAATAACAGCGCCTGCTAACATCAGCACGGTATTAGTTGGTATCACTCCTGCACATGTGGCTTTGTGTGCAGGTATCACCTGATTAAATCATCATAGTTGCGCAGATCACACACAAGAATGTTCGCAGATAAAATAGTCCACATTCAGACGGGGTATTGTCATTTCCCGGACTGTTACCCAGGAAACCTGCGTCTGTGTCCCATCTTGGACTACTAGTCTTACTCTTTTCTTTTTGAGTTTTTATTTAGATGTTTGTTTAGGCACTAAAAGTGCTCAGCTTGGTTAATTGTGTCGGACGAATCTGTCTGTGAAGGTAGTCTTTCTTCATTTTTGTCTTTGGAGGTGTTGTTTGCCTGATTTGAGCATTAACCAAGGAAGCGATGGCGCCTAATGAGTTCTTCATCTTCAAAGGTATTCTACCTGTTTTTTAAGGAGGTCCTAACATGTGCCACCGAGGCTTAATTCGCTCCTCTTCCTCGATTCTTGGATATTTAGACATTTCTTAGACAGTCGTTCTCCTCTGCTCTGCATTCTTCTGACATTATAATATACTGCTGGCCTGAATGTCTACAAAAATATATGCTGAAACACACTAACACACACATAAACAATTTGATGTCAGTTCTCTGTTGCACATAAAGCCAAACCCACATCGTCATTTAATGTTTATCTTGCCCCATCTGCCTGGTGCTGATTACACGTTTAGCTTTCAGCCCAGGACAAGATAAGATCTGTTACAATGAAACTCTCTCGTGCTGATGATGGCAGTGCTCACTATACATTTTGTGCGAGTGTGTGTTTGTTTGCGTGCATATGAGCGCGTATACATATATATATAGTCACCATAATGTGTGACTGAATAAGTGTGTCTGTATATCTTGGAGTGCATGCAGCGCTGACACACACACATGCAGTATGCGTGTGTGTGTGCACCTGTGGCACGCTCTGCGCAGGCCGTCCGCTGATTCAGGACTGTGGCACACAACAAAGCTGGCCCTGCTCAGCACTGCAGTCAAAACTAGCATAAGAGAGCAAAGACATTCCTGACTGGTGTCTGAGTCTCTGAGCTTTGCTCTCTGCTCTCAGGCCAAATGATTAGAGCGCTTTAATCAGCAGAGGCACTGAAAGGACAGCTATCTCCCAGCATTTCATCTCGCTCACTCTTCGTCTCTCACTGCAGCTCTCGCTTTTCCTTCATCAACAACCTATCTGCGTGATAGGCATTTTCCTTCAAAAGACAAGTACGGCAAAAGACATAAGGAGACAGAGACATTCAGAAGGAGACCGAGAAAGAGAGACGTACGATGGTATGAACAGCATCTTTCAACAGAGAGAATCATTGTCCTGGCAGACAGGAGAGCAATCCACAGGTGTGGTTTCACTGCTCCACAGTTGGCCACACTGTGTGCGTTTCTGTGTATGTGCTGGTGCATATATGCCCACTCATTTATGTGTGTGAGTAAGTGTGTAAGTGAGCTAGAGAGCGAGTGAGAGAAGATGACAGCGTATGTCAGTGGGGATAAAAAGGAAGTAGCTGATTTCTTCGCACTGATTCTCTTCTTCTGCAGTCTTATTTAAAACAAATGTCCCACACTGCCAGCCGAACAGTGACATCAACATCACAGATAACAGCACAGCTCTGTGTCAGGACTCTTTCGCTTACTGATTTGCATTGAGATGAGCAGATTTAGCCCAAATAAAGCGATGAATTCACGGCGACGAAACAGACTGCTGACCCTGTACGGACATTGTTTTTCTCTCTTTCCTTCCACAGCTGGGTACCAGCACAGCTCAGCAAAGGATCAGCACTTTTCTGGCTGGCATTCACTTTGCTGGCTAAATAATAAACACTGTGTTTTGGCCCAACAGCAACACTTGGCCTAAAAAAGGACCTCTGTCTCTTATATTAAAGTCTGGTAAAGGAAAACTGTGATGTGGTGGTAATGAAGATGTATACGCATTATTGTTATTAACCTGCATTAATGGCGTGAGCTGATGTCAAATTACTGTTTAACACATTAGTTATTATAGTAAAAAGAAAAACACCTTGTACTGGATGTAAAATACCAGTAACACTTGAACCCATTCTCTCTTCTCCCTCTTATTTTTGCTCACTTTCACAATCTGTAACAGATACAGTGCAGCCTGTGGATAGACAAGCAGAGACTCTTATGTTTTATTAACAAAGAGAACTCGAGTTAATTCAAACTATCGTCACAGATTACCTCCACAAACCTATTTTTCTACAGTAAGACGGAAAAATGGCAAAGTGGAGGAGCTCTATCTACCAGTCATGCAAGGACATAAACTCACACAGCTTCCATGACACTACATCCCACACTGACCTTGACTGGGCTGTGAATGAACAGTGGGAGGATTCAAGTGGAAAAAAATCACAAAGCTGCACATTCAAACACTACAAAAGTGTGTGTGTGTGAGAGAGAGAGACGGAGAGAGAGAGTTTGATTCCTATTGAAACAGTAAGACAGACCCTCACCAAGAGAAAATATTTTATCAGCTGATCTGCTGTCTGTCTCTCTGTCTGTCTGTCCAACTGTCACACACCTTGTGGAGCTGAGCCTATAGGGATTGTTTTATGATGACATATCCACTGAGCCCAGAGGGCCACCTGACATTCCTCCCTCTGAACTCTCACTCACAGACACACACACACATACCACACACACCATCAACACCACATCCACCAATCTCCCTGTCCTCTCTATCACTGCAGACAATGAAATGCACACACCTCCCTCACCTCCCTGTCTTCTCTTCAGGTTTAGTCTCTCACTCTGGGAGCACCTTAGATTGTTCTTGAGCATTCTTGGATTCGGGTAGTGTGCTGGGAAATGTGCTAATCATTAATCACTTATTAATGTTATGCTACTGCGCATATATATTTATATATGTGTGTGTTCATTTAGATTTAAAATAAATAGGAAAACCGCGATTACGCAGAAATCACACGAAGCTTTGGGTTGACGGGAGACAGACAGCGAAAAACACGTGGTAGTAAATGCAAACTCACCACCACAGTCCGATGATATTGACCGGACAAAGCGAGATAAAGAACAGAGCCAGCTGGATCCGCGAGAGACGAGCCGTCATGTTGAAATCCTCAAAGAGACTCCCCACCAAAGTTTCGAGTGACGATCTCAGCCAGCACCGAGTTATTTCTTAAATACATAGGAAGTCCCTGCTTGCTGTCTGCGGCTGGAGTCGGTGCAGGCGCGCTTACAGACTGTCAAGAAGAGCGCAAAAATTCAACTGCTCGTCGGCCGTGCGCATCTTAATGCGCAACAAAGTTGGTCAAGAGGCTACTGGAGAGATGTCCGCTTTCAAAGGTGTGGTTAACCTCTGCATTGTCGTTTTGCCCCATCTGTCGCAGCACGTTACATGCTTCCAGGGCGGACCGAGGACGAATCCCGAAAACACTCAAGTCTTATCTGACTGCGAAACAGCGCGTGAAAAAGCTCCACTCGTGAGGATCTTCGGCTCTGACTCATTTTACTTAAAAAAAAAAAACTGTCATATCAGAGTCAGAGAGGAAGAGGAGCGCTTACACATGTCTAACAGTTCACGTCTTCAGGCGCGGAGCCCCGCTGGCCCCACTCTGCTCGCCCTCAAATGACGCCCGGATGAAGTTTCGGTAATTCTCGGTGCTCACCGGCTGCAGGTAGAGGCGTCTCTGCCGCGACGGCTGTCAGTGTGGGCTCTTTGGATGATGAAGGCAGCAAAAATGCTCTCCCACCTTAGTGTGACGTCGCTCGGGGCGAAGCGAAATCCTCTGTCACTCAGAAAGGAGAGAGAACGAAACTGCAATTAGTTTTAGGAGGAAACGCGCACGCGCACAGAGGGGGGGGGCTGACACGAGCCCGCAGTGTTTACGGTCACCCGAAATCAGAGCTGAGGGGATCACGGGGTGACGTCAGCACAGGTGCGATGGCACTGCTTTGATGCTTGTGCCAAAAGGTTATACGCGTTAAATTCACACTTTCATATTTAAGAATCGTTTAAAGCAAAGACTTTAAAAACGACACACATGTCGCACGTTGGAAGTTATTTTTAATATTGTGTATATTTGTAGGTACTTGCATGTGTGATCACCTATCTGGCCAAGGGCATATCCATTGAAATTCAACACCGCTGTGCTGCCCTCACACCTGACTTTGTTCCACTGCAGTGATGCAATCAGTCACAAGTTAAACACGGCCTAAATCAACCTGACACGTACCTCTGTCCTTCCACAGACCATAACCCACACTCTCAATGCCACCACGGACGCTACTCAAGGAGCTGCGCGTTGGATTGTAACAATAACCCAAATTCATATTTTACTCATAATGTTACGACCGCAGTCTGCAAACGAGTCTGGCTCAAAGGGGCAAAAATAGTGGAAACTTTACAAGTGCTGTAAAGCTTCGACTACAACACACAACAGAACACATCAGTGCATTTCATTTGCGTTTATATTGCACACCGTCCTTTGTGGAATTTATTCCTCATTTTCCTCAAAATTTCAATCTGACGTGATTTTTTCTTCTAAAAAAGGAATAAAAAAATGAACGTTCAAATTCATCAGAAGTAATTTTATATGCTTTTCCACACAGTCTCAGTGTGCGAACACTGCTGAAAATGTCATCTTAGAGGGACTCATCACCCACATTTGAAGCCGTTTAAACTGCTAAAACTGTGCTGATGTGCAAGTGATGTACAGATGCGGTTTTGCTTTGATATTAAATGTTTTAATTATTACAGGTCCAAATGCAAAAGCCCAGAAACTGCATTTACGCTTTGCTAGAATTTAGTATTCATCTATAAATATGAAAAGCTGCACAAAATCAGAGCCCATCAACACGTTATTAATTAAAAGATCAGATGGATTAACTCACAATAGATAAGTTTCACTGTGACTGTTTTAATATTCTTAATGTTCACACAGCAAACATCTGGAAATGCAGAATGAACATTGCACACATTTGTTCTGCAGCAGTTTTAGTCATGCTCCCTTTCTCTTTGTAGTTATTTAATAATAGTCGGCAATGGAAATAGACATTTAATAACACATTAAGAAATTTGCACTGGCTTCTGTACGATGAAGAAAATTAAACGAGAAAGTTGTCTAGTAAATACAGCTCCAGTTGATTTTTGACTCATATTGATTGGGTTCAGACGCCGTTGCCGGTTCATACTGTAATCCCATCACTGATGGAGAGAGAGAGAGCAGATGAAGATGGATTCCTGAAAACTGTAGATGCCCAAAGTGGGTCAGAAATGTCTCTCGGGTTCCTTCAGCAGTAGACTGTCCTCCCAATAACTTTGGCTGAGATTGTGCCAAAAGCTGTCAGGTGCAATTTAGTGATGGTGAAGATTTTCATGCTTATGGCTTCCAAGTGATGACCTCAAGCTGGTCATTCCCTCTGCCGCTTTATAGTCAGAGTGGGTTATTGATTACGTGCACGATCAGATCAGTGCAACCTGGGTTCAGTTTGCTTCAGCGATGAACCTTTGTGATTCTCCTTTCCAGACAGCGCTGTTATTGTCAGACATGATGCATTGCATCAAAAATTCAGATCTGTGATAACAGCTCTGATATTCTGATAACTCACAGTAAAGCTGCACCAGTATATTTGCAGGCTACTGGTCTACAACAGTCTGTTTCTCCACGGTGGATCAAACCATCGTGTCTGTGAAGCCATTCTGAGGTAACAGGCAGACACTTCAAACTTCTTCTGCTGGGTTGACAGTTCATATGACGTGATAGTGATTTGCAGTGGAAAAAGCAAGTTGGTACAAACAGCAGCGCAGCAAACCAGTGTGAAGAATACCTTAGGGCAATATTAGATTAGCAGGAATTTAGTGTTAATTTGATTCAGCCTTCTTGCACAGCTAATGATGTTTTTCTAACTGTTGAGACAATGTTCAAAACGGACTTTGTTGACTGATCCGTTCAGCTTCTGTCTCACATCCTGGCCTGATGTTATCCGTGTTTTCTGGCATCCACAACTCCTCAGAAGTGATATGTTGGCACCTCTAACTGTTTAAACTTGTTACTTACACAAAGAAAAGAGTTGAATGCATCTAACCAAAGCAACAGTATTTTTTCATTGCTTTATTGTAACTGAAAAGTGTCTGCCGGTGGAGTGACAAACGTATTGCAGAAAGTTTTGTTTATCATTAGCTGAGCTGTAAGGCTTCGTGTCTCCATTGCCTCGTTCCTCTCGGTTGTGGAGCTCACATAACACATAGTCACGCTGAAGCAGATAATTGGCCTCCAGTGGCAGGAACAGAACATGGTGTGATGTTTTAGCAGACAGAGCTGTGCTGCGTGGAGAGTGCTGCATTGATATGCCGGCTGGAACCAACCACAACAAAATTAGAAAGTTATGAAAATTGAGTTATCTCTCAATGATCTATAAATAACTGCAGCATAGTTGCGAGCTTAAGCATGCCAATTGAACTGTGCTTTATACTGGGTGTTATCTCACCCACCTTACACACTCTTTCTGCCCCACTTTCTCTCTCATCTTGCCCCTCGCTCTGCTGGATAAGTGTGTTTTGTTAGGGAGGGCTGATTCTTCATACTTGGCTGAGGCTTTATGGACAATAAAGATCTGATTTCAAAGTCCAGCAGGGTGTTGGGCCTGGGGTCTTGGCTCAGCTTTAGCTGCCTGCTGGGAGGAGACACTGCACAGCCCCCAACCAGATGGCCTTCAGCCCACATACAGTAGATTCATATTGTACATGATGTGTAGCATTGACACGTCTGTCTCTTTTAACCGCTACGGGCTCGGCCAAAGCCCGCTGACCTCCTTGAGGTGACCTCTAGTGACCTTGTTTGAATAATTTGTGGTATTTTGAAGTTCTGTGTTTCACCCCTTACAGATGTGCATATAGAGTTGACATGGAAAACGGGTCATTTCAGCAGAACTACAGTTCAGCGAAACCAATGTTTTAACCTAAAATAGAGTGAAGTCATGTGACTGCCTGCTCAATATTTAATCCGTCCAACAACATGTAAGCTTTGGCAGACACTGGATAACAGGGATTTCTGGTGACTAGGCTACCGATGTTTCTCTTATCTCTGCTTGTTAGTTTTACAGCAAGAGTTCGGCACAAAGACACTTACACAGATGCTCACCAACAGAGTCGACTCTGCTCTCTAGTTTGAGTCGACTCTGCTCTCCGTCTTTCCTCGGGCTGGCATCATCTCAGTAGTTCACTCCCTGTTTCATCTTAATCACATAGCTCAGTATGGAGATATGCGACATGTCCTTCCAGCATGTATTATACATCTGTAGGGACTTAGATCAGTGTTACAATGGAGAACGCCCTGATAGATACAGGAGCTTCACTAAAAGCTGCCAGCAGTGCATTTTTTAGTCATTACATTAAACTTATAACATGAGTTTTGTTGTACAAGATATTTTGCAGTTGGGGAACAACCGAGTGGCAGAGTGGAGGCAGGCATTTACTGGTGACACGATGGGCGTCTGACTCAGCGTCGTAGGCCAAACGTTTTTAGGTGTCCCGATGCTTCCTCTGTTGACCCCAAACTCCAACACTGTGCGTTGTTATTTCACCGCGCATCACACTGATACATATGAACAGCTGGAACAAAACTAATCTAATAGGTCTGATCTTTGAATAGCTGTTCAAAGATCAGACCTATTAGATTAGTTTTGTTCAACAGCCGGCTCTGATTCATCTAAATATTCGTTAAATTTACGTTTCATTTCAACGACTCCCTGGAGATTACATGAGAAACAAACAGCAGTTACAACCGTTGTTGCCATAGTAAACTTTGAGGAAGTTCAAGCTACAACTGTAGTCCAGAATGAAAGTTTCCTCCAGTGTACGGCTCGGATGCCCCCACAGCACTATGAGACTGTACTGAGCAAGTATTATCATGCTTACATGCTAACTGGCTTAAACTTTGCAAACATCGTACTTGCTAAACATCACAGCAGCTTTGCCTGCGTGGGTGTTTGACTCGTCTCTGTGCTGGATGCCTCGTGCACGGACTCGTAGATGTTTGTGACTGGGTTGCTGTGTCGTATTATTGTGTCCTACAAGGATCATCAGAACAGAAACAATGCTAAATGGAAAAGTGTGTGCATCGAGCTGTGTTTTCCCCTGTGGTCTGTCATCAATTGAAGTAAAAGAACATTGGTCTCGATTATGAAGTGTTCCCTCCCACCCGTCTCCACCTAGGACAAGCTAACAGGCCTAACCCCTGCCCTGCCACACCTCTCATGCACATGCTACACACACATTCCCCCTCTGACACTGCTTTCATTTGGGCGTGAAATAGATTCCTACTGTCTGCCAGAATGCACCACCTATCTCTGGATGTGATTCTTTTTTTCCTTCCCCTTTTTCCTTTCTGCGTGCCACACGTGTACCCTTTTGTTTTTCCAGAGAAAAATACCTTGCTCACAAAGCTCGTCCCCAGAAACACATTCCCGGGTGATTATGACCGAAAAATGATTTGAAATCCCACAGGGACTAATATTTTATTTGACAACGAGAATTAGGTCTAAATAAGAAACACATGATGGTCCTAACCTTTTTAAAACAAACCACAGTCATCCCTGGAATCCCCAGGAGAAAGGCATGTTCATGAAATTCCTTCATAACTGGCACACACACACACACACACACACTGAAAGTGTGAGAGAGATTGTAGTATAAAATATTAATACCTCCTGCTGCCACATGATTTTACATGTCCAGGAGCAGAAAGTCTGTTTTCAGAGAGGAAAGAACTGAAGTTATGCAAAATGTTCTTGTTAGAGCAAGTAATG